CATAGGGTGGATTATCGATTCTTGTGTTCTGCATTAAACTATTTATAGTTTAAGGGCCTGGTTAGAAATGTTGCCGTAGACTAGGAATAGCTAAGAGCTTGTTATAAAATGATTTGGCCTTAGATTAAGAATAATTTAAGAGCATGGTTGAGATATTGAATATCGAATGACTTGGAATAAAATATTGAGAATATCATGAATGTTTGAATCATATATTGTGTGCATGATATCAAATGGTTGATTATGAATTGAGATTCAATTTATTTGGATGTTCGACGCTTTAGATATGCCTACTCAGCTTCATCGCTGAGCGTGTAGTATGTTTTATTTGCTACACGCAGGTAGACAGAATGAGTGAATGGCATGTTCTTGGCAGCGGAAGGGGCGAGACAGTCGTGGTGGATTTATTGAGAAAATAAATGATTCTGTTATTATGAACCATGTTTAAAAATCGCTTCCGCATTAAACACTCCGTATTTACTACAATTATGTTTGTAATTTCATTTATGATGAATAAAGTCATTTGAAATGTTTTAAATTATACGATTACCAAGTTAATACTTTAGTTCGGAAGGGGTTGTAAACCTGGACGGATTAGGGTGTTACACACTTAAACAAACGTTAAGCTCTTATATTGTTTGTTAACATCAAAACATGAGGCTTAGCAACCAAGGCTAACAATCTCCCCCTTTTTTATGTTGACAAACAATATACTTCAAAGTGAGTTAGGCGGGAGTAAAATAATGAATCAAGTAAGCTCCCCCTAAGAATAAGTATATTGAAAATACTCACTTTGAACTTTTTCTTGTGTTTATTAAATGTTTAAGTTTACACAAGAATGCACTCAAGTCAAGCTGCATATGCACCACTTTGAAGTCTATATCTTCTCCCCCTTTTGTCAAAATCAAAAAGGGTATTTTGAAAATTTTAAGCATATATAACTTCTTGAAACCCTCCCCCTATCAAAATGAATTTTTAGGAAAAATGATAGTTTTGAGATCATTGGGCAAAAGGTGCATTTACAACGAAACTTCCCCTAAAAATGAAAACTCCCCCTACAATGATGCAAGTTTAAAAAACTTTATTTTTCAGGGATTTTTGGGGATTATTTTCTAAAATGCATGAATTTTAAGAAATTTTAATCATGCAAACCAAGGCTAAAACAAATAAAAGCACATATGGGATAAGGTTTTATTTTTGAAAATAATTAAAACCAAACAAAATAATATCTTATCCCAATAAGTGATAAGAATTTACCTTGGCTTTTTGTCGCTCTTTCTTTGGCTTTTTATATGTGTCTTTCCTCTTCACATACTTCTTCCATTTGAAGAAATCCGTATACTTCTTTCTCATTGCCTTCTCTTCGTCTTCTTCATCATCCGACTCTTCCGTAGAGCTTGAGTCACTTGAATCATCACTTGATTCACTTGACTTTTCACTAGACGAGTCTTTTGAAGCTTTGAAGGCGTTGGTAAGCTTGGGATTTTCACGCATTTCTTCCTCTTTGATCTTTCTCAACAAAAGCTCATGAGAATATAAAGAAGACCAAATGTGAGCGGTTTCGGCCTTATCACATTTGGGTAATAAATCTACTATACTACTATGCCATTCTTTAGGTAAAGAAAATAGAATTTTCGTATTAAGCTCGGAAGTAGTATACGTCTTACCCAACGTACTCAATTTGTTGACAATCTCATTGAACCTCTTGTTCATATCTTGGATTGTCTCACATGGTCCTTTCTTGAAGGATTCGTATTTGGAGTTCCCAAGGGCAATCATTGTTTGCTTTGTCGAGATGTCCCCTTCGTGAGTGGCTTCTAATAAATCCCATACTTCTTTGGCAGTTTTGCACGTACTCACTCGTGCAAATTCATCGGGACCGAGGGAGCAATGGAGGATATTGATTGCCTTTCCATTCATTGATAACTTTCTTTTATCCTCCGGAGATAATCCTGCAAGATTACCAATACTCGGCACAAATAGCCCGTGAAGTACATTCAACCATAAATCAAAATCAATTGATTGAATGAAATATTCCATCAGCATTTTCCAATAAGAATAATTTTGAACATTGAAAAACGGAGGACGGTGGATGCTTTGGGAATCCATTTGGGCCATATTTCAATAAATTTGAATTTAAAAAATTGGGAAAATAAAAATTTTGAGATTTTAAAAATTCAAATTTAAAAACGGACACAACAAGTGGATCTTTGTTGTAGATGCGGTTAAGAACTTTCAACTACGAAACAGCTCCGATACCAATTGTTAGTCGGTTTAGACGTTGTGCCCACGCCTTAGAGGGGGGGGGGTGAATAAGGCGTTTAAAATCTTTTCGGAGTTTGATAAAAACGGTGTTGCAAATGCGGAAGCAATATATAAAACATAAAAATAAAAACGTAAATAAAATGCAAACCGAATTTATACTGGTTCGGGAACTTCCTACTCCAGTACCTCGAGGCTCCTCCTCAAGGATTTCCGAATCCACTAAGCCTTGGTCTCTTGAACTCTGTCAAAGCACCGTACTAGTTTGGCAAACAACCCTTGCCAATAGGATTCACTCCGAGATTTCACCACGGCTATCTTGAACCGTTTACAATGAAGATTTAACGGCATCTTCTACCGTTCCCCCAAGGATTTCAAAGGCTATCCTTGAACCTTTACCCAAGGATTTATACGACTATCCTTGACCGTTACAACGTGAGAATTTAACGGTTATTCTCGACCGTAAGAAGGTGTGTTTGAAGAACACGAACAAATGTTTTACACAACGGCTTGAATATAAAAATGAAGAAAAAGACTTAGCCGGTGTAGAACTAAATTATACTCTCTTAAAAATACAATACAAACATATGAATATGAGAGTATATAACTAGAAATACAAGCTCAAAGTGTGTGTATAGAAATCAGGAATTTAAGGCTCTTAAAATAGCCAAAATATTGAAAATATTTAATAAAAGGATGAACACACTTAGAATAAAAAGAGAGGATGTTTAGAGCTTTTTTTCTTGTAGAAATATGAAGGATTAGGCTTGTATTTATAGTGGAAGATGTTAATTAGCCGTTGGGAGGTGATTAGGGTTGATTTAATTCAAAATCTCAAATCAGGAACAGTAACCCAACAGTCACGGTAGACCGATACCGTCCACATGGTAGCATGGTACCGTGCGTTCGGTAGGGGGTACCGTGTCCCACTAAAAATCCATTCGGCTCTGGCGGTACCTAGTTAGGACGGGTTGGCCCAACCGTCTCTACCTATCGTCGGTACCCAGGTGCCGTTACACGGTATGGGGGTACCGTGTAGGCGGTATACCCTACCGTTTGGGGTACCGCTAGGGGTACCGTGACTCTGTTCTGATTTTTCCAAAATTCTCTTAATCCTCCGTGTTTGAGTTTAAAACCTTTTAGATGTTTGAAAATGTTTATGGGATGGTTTTAGACATATTTTGTGAGTGCTTTTGAGCTTGTGAATATAGGTATATAAAGTCATATTCTCACATTGGTTTCTACCTATATTCTACGCTAGTTTAGTGTTTCGACTTCATTCTTGAGTACCGAACCTTAATGGATTCTTGTTTTTCCTGAAACACTTAAACAAACGTTAAGCTCTTATATTGTTTGTTAACATCAAAACATGAGGCTTAGCAAACCAAGGCTAACAAGAGCAACAAGATCATATGCCCTTGTATCTTTTTCCTCCATGTCATAACCTCCTGAATCACATATTAAGTCTCTTCAAAAGGGTGCTTTTCAAAGTTCCAACTGCTTTAAAAAAAAATTCAAAAAAAAAAAACTCTAAGTATATTACCCAAATACACTAAATAGACCAGCAGCACCAATTGATTAGAGCAAGAAGCAAAAGAGCAATACAACAGCCAAATAACAAGAAATGGACAAAACCTAACACGAGAAGGAAATAGTAACAAAACCTTGACAAAAAATGATTAACAAAATACGGTTGTTTGAAATTGTAAACCCTAACACATAGCTAGTGAATAAGAAAAAATATAAAAGAAAACAAAATACAATAATGGAGGAGAGAAAGCAATAGATTGTTGAAACACGGGCTTGTCACGTTTTCGTACTAAAGTCGTGTTCGTTTTTGTAACAGGTTTTGATAATGCCAAACCGCCGTGATCAATTCGAACATTGAATATACAAGGCGAAGAACGAAGATAAGAGCAAGAGCTAAACGAAGACCAAGAACGAAGACCTTACTCATAGTATTGAGTCGGTCTTTATTGTTATCAAGACCGACCCAATCTTTACACCTTGGCTCTTTAGGCTAAAATCTCTCATTGCATTTCTTACATCATAAAAATGTTTTTCAAACTTGCTTAAGTCATTAAAAACACTTGGTGGTCGCCCAAACCAAAAACCAAGCCATCCAGTGTTCGGCTTTCAGAAACCAACGTTCGGCTTTCGGTTGTCGGGTTTGGTTTTTTTTGGCATCCGAACCAACCAAGTGGTTTTCAGCATTTTATGATCTGCTTTCACTCTTTGGCATGTTTAAAAGGTTCTCCAACAAAAACACTTTGAAAACCATCTCTAGCTTTTAGTCGTTTGACAAAAACCACGCAAAACGGCGTAAACTTGGCTAGACGTGGTTTTTACTCAAATGACGTGATTTTTAAAGTGTCTCACTTGATTTCTTAGCCAAATACATCAAATAAGTGTTTTAAACACTTGGTTTTTATTTTGGAGAACTTTGGATTTTTCGGTCGGTTTTTGCATCGGTTGGCTAGGCCGTGGTTAAGGCAAAAACCATAGGTTTTTGGCTAACCACCCACCCAGCGATGGGAAGAACATCCCATCGATGGGTAAGCAGCCCCTTAGCCAAAACAACTTCCAGAACCATGCCAAACAGCGATGGGAGGTTCTACCCATCGCTATTAAAGCCTTGGTCCAACATTATCACAAGGCAGAATGACCTTACCCAGCGATGGGAAGCTTTACCCATCGATGGGAACCCAGCGATGGGAAGGGTTAACCATCGATGGGAAGGCATGACCGTTGTATGTCATTTAAGGTTGATTCTTTCCTTGTTTGGAAGTCAACCTCCCACCCAGCAATGGGAAGCATGTACCCATCGATGGGTAGGTGATCGTTGGCTTCAAAACTGAAGGAAAATTGGCCTACCAGCGATGGGTAAGGTCCATACATCGCTGGGAAGCCAATATTCCGCAGATCCCAAATCTTTTCAATCCCATAAATCAAGCTAATCACCCCTTTAATGCATTGGTCCGTTGGAGCCTATTTTGGCACTATAAAAAGGGGTGTTTGGGTTTGCTTTTCTCATCAATTCAACTTCACAACATTCATACTTTCATTGCATTCAAATATCATCATTTTCCATAGCTTTCTAGAGCTATTTTGTGTGGAGGTTGAGTTGTTCTTGAGCGTACTTAGTTTACTCATATTCTACTCTATAAGAGAGCCTCGTTCTTGAGTGTATTCGTGTTCTTAGACACTTTGAGAGAAAGTATTTCTCTCGGTAGATTCAAAGGAAGGGTTGTTTCCTTTGAAGGACTCGTTGAGGTTCGTGTAACTCGAACTCTCAAGTTGTAACGGTTTGTTAAGCACCCGCAAGCTTGACGAGATAGTAGTGTAGCTCGAGAGAGTCTCTCGGGAGGCTGGATTAGCCACAAGTTGTGGTGAACCAGGGTAAAATTCGGTGTGCCTCTTACTCTTCTCTTTACTTCTCTTTTAAGTTTTTAATTCCTACGATTTCTACGATCAAACGCTATTCACCCCCCCTCTAGCGTTGGTCTTTTATTCTAACAATTGGTATCAGAGCCCAACTCGCGTCTAAACTTAACCGTTTGAGAGTAAAGCGATCATGGGTTCTTCTTCTAGAAATCTTTATGCAGGAATTGGAGAAGGTCAATCAACATCTAGGCCACCGCTTTTTGATGCCACCAACTACACATATTGGAAAGAGCGGATGAGAATTTATATCCGCTCAACCAACTTCCAGTTGTGGTTGGTCATCAAAAACGGCGAAGAAACGCCAATGAAGAAGGTCGATGAAAAACTTGTCCCAAAGACCGAAGACGAATTTGATGCCGAAGACATCAAGAAGGTGGAGAACTACGCCAAGGCAATCAACATGCTGTACTGTGCAGTCAATCCTGATGATTATCCAAGATCTCTTGCTGCACCACTGCAAAAGAAATGTGGGACAAGCTGGAAGTCACATATGAAGGTACGGACCAAGTTCGGGAAGCCAAAATTGACTTCCTAACGCAGGAGTACGAGATGTTCAGGATGAAGGAAGGCGAAAAGATCGATGACATGTTCGATCGGTTCTCAAAGATCATCAACGACCTTCACGCTCTCAAGAAGACGTACGCCAACAAGGACCTTGTGAGGAAAATCCTGCGTANAAGGCTGACGCAATCTACGAATCCATCGGAGTCTCCAATGTCACCATCGACGGGCTAAGAGGTAACCTCAAAACTTATGAATCTACTATTCTAACTCCGTCTTTGGATGAACAAAAGAAGAAGGGAATAGCACTGAAAGCAACCAAGGAGACCGTGGAAGAAGACTCAAGCGATGATGACAACGAGTTCGGACTCGTCATCAAGAAATTCCACAAATTTATGAAGAAGGAATTTGAGCGCAAAGGAAGAAAGCAGGATGGTCCCCCGAAGTGCTATGGCTGTGGTGAGATAGGCCACATCAAGCTGAGGTGTCCAAAAGGCAAAAGCGGCAAGGACAAACCCGGCTTCAAAAAGCAACGCGCCTACATCTCATGGGGTGGCGACTCCGGAGATGAGTCAACGGATCAAGAAGAGGAAGAAGCTGCCAACCTCTGTCTCATGGCACACGAAGACCACGTCAACGAAGTACAAGAGGTATGTACCCTTTCTTCCGACTCTTATACTTTTGAAGAAATGCAAGAAGCTCTTCGAGAACTTTATGATGAATTTGTTAGCGCTTCTAAAACCAACAAATCATTAAAGAAACATCTTTCAACTCTTGAAAATGATTTTGAAAAACTGGAAAAAGATAATGAAAAGTTGAAACAAGAAAATAAATTTTATGGTAAAAGAAGTGCTGACAAACCGGAAAGCTCTTCAAGTGAATGTGAATCTTGCAAAGCTTTAAAAGAAAAAGTTGCAAAAGTTGAGAGTACGGTTAAGAAGTTTAATACACCACACAAGGATCTCAATTTACTCCTAGACACTATGCATTTTTCTAAGGAAGGAATAGGTTTTGATAAAAATGAATCTAAGCATAAAAACGTTGAGCATACACCTAGACAACCTACTAAGGCTCAACACAAGAAAGTTAAAAATCAGGATAATAGAAAATCTAGTCAACTTAAGGACACTAGACAACCTAGACAAAACCCTAGGAATGAAAATGTGCATGCTAGACAACCTAGGAAAAATTATCAAAATGATTTTGTGCATAAAAATAATTTTTCAAATAGACAAAATAATTCTAGGACACCTAGAAGAGAGAATTTTCAAAAACCAATATTTTCTCAAAATAGGATGAATATGGTTAGGCCCCCTAGCAACTATTATCAACCTAGGAGGATGCACAACCCAAATGTAGTTTGTCACTATTGCAACAGGGTAGGACATATAGCTCCCGTTTGCTTTACTAGGCATAGGCATTGGGCACAAAATGAATCACACTACCACTTTGCACCTAACACTCAAAGACCCAAAAAGACTTGGGTACCTAAATCTTATTAAATCATTTTTGTAAGTGTGCTTGAAGGCGTCAAGTGTACTTTGGTATCTTGATAGCGGATGCTCCAAGCACATGACTGGAGATGCATCCAAGTTCCTACAAATCAAACCCGCTAAAGGAGGAAACGTAGTCTTTGGAGATAATAGCAAGGGAAAAAATATTGGCATCGGTTCAGTAGGTAAGTCCGAAGACTCCTCTATAGATAATGTCTTGCTAGTCAAAGGTCTTAAACACAATCTCTTGAGCATAAGTCAATTATGTGACAAGGGAAACCGTGTAACCTTCGATTCAAAATCATGCACTGTAGAATGCCTTAGTGACAATAAGGTCATTCTACGTGTTGATAGAATCGATAACATTTATATGGTTAACTTAGACAAATCTCCTTCCGACTTTGCTAAGTGTCTCATGAGTAAAGAGGAAGACACTTGGCTATGGCACCGAAGGGTAGCTCATATGAACATGAACCTTTTGAACAAATTGGTTTCACAAAACTTAGTAATTGGCATCCTAAAACTTAAGTTTGAAAAAGACACCATATGTGATGCATGTCAAAAGGGGAAGCAAGTTCGGGCTTCGTTTAAGTCTAAAAACGTTGTTTCAACATCGAGACCGCTTCAACTTTTGCACATGGATCTCTTTGGTCCTTCTAGAACGAAGAGTTTTGGTGGCAATTACTTTGCGTTTGTGATTGTCGATGACTACTCTAGGTTTACATAGACCTTGTTTCTAACTCATAAAAGTGAGGCATTTCACGTTTTCAAAAATTTCTTAAAGAAAGTTCAAAATGAAAAAGAAACAACCATAGTAGCCATAAGAAGCGACCATGGGGGAGAGTTCGAACGAAATTTGTTCTCAGATTTGTGTGACGAACTTGGCATTGATCATAACTTCTCAGCCCCACGCACACCACAACAAAATGGAGTGGTGGAACGTAAAAATAGATGTCTCGAAGAGATGGCTAAAACTATGATCAATGAGGCAAAAATCCCCAAGTATTTTTGGGCGGATGCCGTGAGTACCGCGAGCTACGTGTTAAACCGAGCCGTCATTCGACCGATACTCATGAAAACACCCTATGAACTATACAAAGGGAGAAAGCCAAACCTTTCCCATCTTCGAGTCTTTGGTTGCAAATGTTTTATTCATAACAATGGCAAAGACAACTTAGGCAAATTTGATGCAAAGTCGGATGAAGGAATTTTTTTGGGTTACTCACTACGTAGCAAGGCCTATAGAGTCTTCAATAAACGTACCTTGACTATTGAGGAGTCTCCTCACATTGTATTTTCCGAAGATAATCCTCGCTTGGCGAGAAAGGATATTTGTGATGATCTTGCAGATTCATTAGAGAGAATACACGTTGATGACGATGAAGACAACACGGGAATATACATCAACACACAGCCGCAAACTGGGGAGATACCTCAAGCGACTAACCAAGGTGAAGAAGAAAATCAGGAGAAAGAAGAAGAACAAGAGGAACACGAAGAAGAAGCAACCGAGCTTCCCATAGTATGGAGAACAAACAAGAACCATCCGCTTGACCAGGTAATCGGTAGCATCAACCGCGGGGTAAGTACTCGTAACTCACTTAGGGACACCGTAGGACACATGGCTTTTGTTTCTCAAATTGAACCTACAACCATTTCCGAAGCAATAAACGATGAACATTGAACCTTGGCTATGCAAGAGGAGCTAAACCAATTCAAACGGAATGACGTTTGGGAATTGGTGCCAAGACCCGATAATCGTACGGTTATTGGTACGAAATGGGTGTTCCGTAACAAACTTGATGAAAATGGAATAATCACTAGAAACAAATCTAGGCTCGTAGCTAAAGGCTACAATCAAGAAGAAGGCATTGATTTCGAAGAAACTTATGCACCTGTAGCACGTTTAGAAGCTATTTGTTTACTTCTTGCTTTTGCTTCGTCTATGGATTTTAAACTTTATCAAATGGATGTTAAGAGTGTCTTCCTCAATGGTTTTATTCAAGAGGAAGTGTATGTTGACCAGCCCCCGGGGTTTGAAGACTTTGAGTTTCCCGACCATGTCTTCAAACTCAAGAAAGCGCTCTACGGTCTTAAACAAGCACCTCGTGCTTGGTATGAACGTTTGAGCAAATTTCTTTTGGATAGTGGTTTCCAAAGGGGAAAGGTAAACACTACACTTTTTATCAAGAGTAAAAACAATAACATCCTTTTGGTTCAAGTTTATGTAGATGATATTATATTTGGTGCTACTAACGAGTCTTTGTGCAAGGAATTCTCAACGTTAATGACAAGCGAGTTCGAAATGTCGATGATGGGCGAGCTCACATTCTTTTTGGGACTCCAAGTCAAGCAAATGAATGATGGCACGTTCATTTGTCAAACTAAATATTGCAAGGAGCTCCTAAAACGGTTTGAAATGGACAACACCAAAGCCATGGCGACCCCGATGAGCACGTCCGACCATCTAGACAAAGACGAGAAAGGTAAGGAAGTAGAAGTCAAAAAGTATCGAGGTATGATCGGATCCCTTCTCTATCTTACCGCTAGTAGGCCAGATATCATGTTTAGCGTATGCCTTTGCGCAAGGTATCAATCATGTCCGAAGGAATCGCACTTAACAGCGGTGAAAGGGATCATGAAATACCTTGTTGGCACGGTTAACGTTGGACTGTGGTATCCAAAAGGCTCTTCGTGTCATCTCGCTGGTTATTCCGACTCGGACTTTGCCGGTTGAAAATTGGACCGTAAAAGTACAAGTGGGACTTGCCACTTACTTAGTAGCTCTTTAGTTTCATGGTTTAGTAAGAAACAAGTCAGTGTTGCGTTATCCACAACCGAAGCGGAATACGTTGCCGCCGGTAGTTGTTGTGCTCAAATTCTTTGGATGAAGCAACAACTCGTGGATTATGGCCTTAGTATCAGTCACGTTCCACTCCGTTGTGATAATACTAGCTCCATAAGCTTGACGAAGAACCCCTTCTTCATTCAAGGACGAAACACATTGACATTAGGCACCATTTCATTAGAGATCATGTTCTCAAAGATGATGTCGAAATTGAGTTTGTTGAAACACACAACCAATTAGCCGACATTTTCACAAAACCTTTAGAGAAAGAGTCGTTCTTCTGCATTCGTAGTGAACTCAGAATCCTTGACTCCACGATGATCTAATTTGTGCATTTTATCACTCCTTTTTCTGTGCTTGAACGTTTACTAACTTGAGCGTCGGAGGGTTTTCTAACTCTTTTTTGCAGGGACGGTTCGAGGTGAAGATTTCTGGAAATCAGGGGGAACCAGCGATGGGTGCGTTATACCATCGCTGGGAGGGAAGTCCTCATCTTTCCAGGACCCCTCTTCCCATCGATGGGTGCTTCTTCCCATCGATGTGTAATTGACTCTATTTTTTTAAAATTTTTAACGGATTTCTAGAAACATCTTACCCATCGATGGGTATTTCGTCCCATCGCTGGGTGAATGTTTTTAGTTTCAAAAATTTTTTCCAGAACCTCCCTACCCATCGATGGGAACTTTCTCCCATCGTTGGGTGTTTGACACTTTTTTTTAAAAGCGTTTTATCGGATTTCCAGTAGCCACCTTCCCATCGATGGGAGAGTTTTACCATCGCTGGGAAGGCAGCCTTTGTTTTCTCCTTCGCTTTCCAGTGTCGACCTTCCCATCGATGGGAAGTTCCACCCATCGCTGGGAATTCAAACGAATTCAAACGAATTTCTCACCCTTTCATATATATCCTTCATCTCTACTCATTTTAACACACATTTTCACATCAAAATCTCCTCTTTTACATCAATTACGCATCATGTAATCCTCATCAAGAACAATTATATTGATTACATAGGCGTCATGTAATCATCATCAAGAACAATCAAATTGATTAAATTAAATGTTCCATAATCATGCAATTATTATTAAATATTTATCATCATGATTCATCAAATTGACCATATGATATAAAGTGTCATATCAGGAATATTGTTATACATTTTTGTGGACATATATATACGTATATGTCAATGAATTATTCTACAATTCTAGCATGGTACCACTCAGCGGTTTCGCTGAGCGTGTAGTTTGTATTTTTCGTTGACTACACGTAGGTAACAAGAAGATAATGATGGAACCTTTCCCGGAGGGCATTGAGTCAGAGGAGATGCAAGGATGGCAGACAATGTTTGGTCAACAGATTTTAAAAATGTGTCATGATTTGATTATTATTGTACTTCCGCATTACTCTGAAAATATTTTTAAATGGGTCGCGATCCAGAGTCTGTAAGTTTAATATTTATAAGAAATTATCATTTTCAAATGTCAAGCGAAATTTTTATTTAACTCTTGTTTCACCTGTAAATTCCGGGTTATACTGATTGGGGTGTTACACTGGTGGTGGTCCTTTCAATCCCAGGTTCCTCCCCAGCCTCAGTCGACTCCATTGCATCCATTTGCAGCCTCATCAAGCGCTGGAATGGGATGCACCAGTGATGCGGCCATGGCAGGTCTTACCGTCGGGTTGCCATCTCTCTCTCTGGTTCCCAGCCAATCTGGCGTCGCGCAGGTCACCCACGAGCTTCCCCATGTTCACACGAGTTCATTGAGCCTCTCCCCATCAATTTTGGTGACCAGTGGCCAAGGCTCTATCCATGGTGATCACACGGCAGCAATAATGGCTTCACAGCTGCCCATGCCTTTTTCCCCTCTTGTGCAACTCTCTCCAGGGGCTCCTTTGGTTCCTATGTCTACTTTGATGTCCCTGCAGCATGCTTTGAATGTAGGCAATTCAGCTTTTGCCTCTACGGCACCTGCTCCAAGCACACCAGGTGTTTGTGGAAATGTCTCAAAGGGACCCCCCAATTCTGTGACAGATTTTCTTAAGGTGAAGGTCCCTCTCAGTGCTCTTACTTTTTTTAATTGGCAAGAGATACATGGTGTTGAGCTTAAAGGACTCGTGGATGCTGAACATGTTATCATGCATGTGCCCATAGCTTCGTTTTCTCAATACAAGCAACTTAATATTCTTGGGGCTGTTCCACTTGCTTTGTTGGGACCGGATGGGGCTGCTTATGGTGAATATCCAGTTGAAGAAGTGCTTAGACCCATTACTCAACCCCATTTATTCCAGCCTCTGAAATTGGGGCTTTCCCATGAAAAGAAAGCACGGCCTACTAGTGAGGATATTTCCACCTCTAACCAGCACCTACTTCCAATGGTGCACCAGGTCTTCTAGGCCCTAGCCCTCCCCATGTTCCTACGGCAGTCCCTTCCACAAGAGAATTGGGCTCACTTCCCATGCACACAGCTCATGCACGGCAAGGGGGAGAGAGAGGAGTCTCTTTTGCTCCTACACCAGCTGAAGCCACGGGAAAACAAGGCTCCATGCAAAGCCAAGGTGCATTGAGGGATGCTGCACCTAAGGTGATGACGAGCATGGCAGGATCGGCCAAGCCATCCTTTGTGCAGACTGTGGCAGGTCCTTCAACATCAGGCGCATCAAAATCTTTTGCTCAAGCAGTGGCTGGTCCTTCGTCTACAGGTATTTCCTTACGGGCTAATGTTTCCCGCCCTTGTGCTATATTATCCAATGTGGTTGTTGAGGAAAAAGTTCCCACTTTTCATCGAGGTACGCCCGCTGTTGTTTTTAAGAAAGCTAAAATGCAAAAACTTTCTCAACTAGATAATTTTCTCTTGATTGGTAAATTTTCTCATGGTCGTCCAGAAATTGCTACGTTGAGAAAGTTGTTTGCTACTGTTGAAGACTTGTCGTAGGGTCTAAAACAAATTAAAAATTTATAATATACTCCTTAGCTATCCCCCAAAATATAATCAAATAAAAACTATAGCTAGGGCAAGTAAGGGTCGATCCCACGGAGAAAATTTGTACTTTTGAAATCAAATTAGCATGCACACACATTGTCACTAAACAAAACAAACTAACTACTACACATATGATAAGATGTATAAAACTTATAATAAAACTTATAACTAAATAAATTTAAAAACTTATAAATATAACTTATAAACGAAGAACTATAATATAACTATAAACATAAAACACAAAGGGGGGGTGGGATTGAATGAAAAGTAAATATTTTTGGTTTTTATGTATTTTCTTATTTTTTTGATTAAATGGGGGAAAACAAGCTCAAAAGATAATCAACTTCTCCAACTAAGGTAACCCAAGAAACACCGCCAAGAACCGGTAACAAAATGAAAAAAGAGAACAAACACAAGCCGAACATTACACGTATAATAGGCACGTAGACAATATATTACGTAACTTACGCACTTAAGAATAGGAAAAATAATCAAAGGCCGAGTCGATTCATTTCCTTAACCACGATATGGAGGATTGTCAACTTTCCACACGGCCCGGAGTCATGCAATTCAAAGGCCCGTTTTGAAATATACCTTAGAACCCCAACTCTCTATTCAAGCATGAGAACATACTTCCACTATAGAAAAAATTTATAAAAGAGAGAATCTATTATGCATTCAACTCTCATACATAATCTATTCACAAACCGCCAATACCTTATGCATTTTAACAAACTTTTTCTCCTAATGATGAGCACATTTCACAGATTTCCATAAACTTCTCAAATCAATGACGTTTTTTCTATTCACATAGATGAACACAACATATTTTCAATAAATCGAGAATTGTTTTTGAGCTTAAACAACCTTAATTTTATGAAAATAACGAACAAACATACGAGAAAACACACAATCACTCAATAACGAATTCTAAGAAAAATGAATCAACTTATGGGGCTAAGAAGTCCAAAATTCTTAAAATCAACAAACACAAATCACAAAAAAGATTCACGTATGAATTCAGAGTTCATTGAACTACCTTATGGAGCTAAAATAGCTTCAACAAAAACCGAATTCCACATACCAACCTACTTATGAAATCAAATTATACAATTCAACCAATTCAACAACAACTTGCTCAATAATTGATGAAAAACTAGTATGAATCAATTCTCATTCATAAGGGATTTAATATAGACATTTAAAAACCCATAAAAGAACACCAACCATTTTTTTTAGAATTTTCAAAATTAAAACAAGGGAAAAGAATGTAAATTGAATCAAAAACAAACTTTTACAAAGAAATTGGAGAAGAAAAAAAGAAATTGACAATGAAGAGTTACCAATTGTTGAAGAAGACGAACAAATTGAGTAAACTAGAGCTGTGATGGAGGCTGCCCACCGGAACTGGAGCTGCTGCCGACCGCTCGCCGGAGATGATGCCGCCGCCGGTTCGCATCTGCCAGCCGTCCGCCATAGCAGCGGCTTGGCCGCTGCTTTATTCTCGTTTGTTTCCCCCCTCGTTGTTCCCCCCTTTCTTGTGTCTTGCGCTGCTCCAATTTATAGTCCGAGCCTTTCTTCCCGTTGAGAATTTCTTTCCGTTGCTGCATTGAGTGAGGAGCGGAGAAGAAGGAGAGACGTTGGAGCGTCTTGGATTTGGTCTACGCTGCTCATTGATTTCGCTCGTTTGAAGGAAACGGAGACTTCATTTTCCCTGTTGCGTTGAATTGGAATGAAGAGAGGAGGCTGGGCTAATTTCATTAATGTTGGGTTTGGGCTCCGGCCCAAATTTAATCTCTTCTTTTCAAACTTGAGCTTTAATTTGGCCTTTTGCTACATTTTTCTCCATAGAATAATATATCTGATAATTTTGGGTTAGGAAAAATAAAATACTCCGATAAATAATAGAATGCAAAAAGAATGATTAAAAGCTACTATTTTTGAAAGAAAATAAAAAGATTGTAAAAAATAAGAATTAAAATAAAACTAAGCTAAACAACTAAAAATTAAATACTAAAATTATTAAAAATACCTAAAAAAGAATAAAAAGAACTAACCCAAAAACGACTTATCAGCTACACAATTCATTCTTCGGGAATCTGTTCAGATTAGTCTTCGTGACCCACGCCATGTTATGTTGTTATTCACCCATCCCCAAGATTGCAATGATATATTTATGCAAGGGCAGATTCAGTTTAACGGACAATATCCCATGAGACATTTTCGGTGGTCCCCAGATTTTAATGTTAAAACTGAATCCACCGTTGCACCGGTGTGGGTGACTTTTCCTAATTTGAGGGCTGATTTATTTAATGAAAGTTCCATTCATCAGCTTTGCAAACCCATTGGGAGGTGCTTGAAAGTGGACGTTGCTACGTCCAATTTCTCACGTCCCAATGTGGCCAAGGCTAGGGTGGAGATAGATTTGTTGAAGCCTAGGATTGAACAAATTTGGATAGGTTTCTCTGATGCACCTGGTGAGGAGGATGTGGGCATGTTCCAGCCTGTGGAATATGAGCGCATTCCAAAGTATTGCACGGCTTGTTTTAAACAGGGTCATGATAATTCTACGTGCAATACTTTGACTCCTAGTCAGTCCGATCAGAGGACAGTTGTTGTGGTTCCCCAACCTTCCATGGCTGCACCCGCGACTACCCGACCTTCTCGACGGAGGCGAAGTAGGAGTCGGGTCAGACGTCCAAGGGAGGGGAAAGGTATTGCGATTGATGATGCAGGTACAAGTGCGGGTAGCTCCCAGCGGGAGGAGTCACAATATATTTGGAGAGAAAAGACTGCGAAAGGATCTCGTCCTATTGAGGTCGTGGATGTCGATGGTTCAGGTAAGGGGGAGGGACCCTCATCCAGCTTGCAGCCCTTTGTGCCCACTTCCTCGCATCCCTCCCCGAATGTTGTTATCCCTGATGCTAGTGTAGCTCCTTCTACTGTTAACGCCACTGCTCCCACAATTGTTGTGGTTGAACAGTCGGCGTCTCAGACTGTAGAGCCATCCGTTCCTCCTATTGGAGTTGAGCAAGGCTCCGTTGTTGCTTCTCTTCCTCTCTTTACTTCTTCCTCTTCTCCCATTGTTCATGTTCCCGATCCTCAACCCCCAGAGCTTGCCCTTACTATGTCTAACACTTTCGATGCTTTGGGGGAGATGCCTGTGGACAGTCATGAGGTCTGTGGCTTTAATACTGCTGCATCTTCCATTCCTTCCAATACGGTAAGGAGGGAGGATGACGAGTGTACCTCGCAGACTAGTGACGGGTCCACGGGCGATCATTTTGAGGATCCTACTGACCTTGCCCGGGATCTTGCAGCGCGTGGCCTTTCCCCTGCGAGGGAGGCTCCGACTACTAGGGGTAAGTCGGCTAAGAACGCCCGAAAAGCAACAGAGCATAAGACGGGGGTGATTCCTGCTTCACGCAGAGTCACCCGTTCCGCTTCTTCGCGTTCCCAATGATGATGTGGTTCCTAGTTTGGAACGTGAGGAGTATCACCTCACAGAATGTCCTTTCTAAGATTCGAATTTTACTGAAACAGCACACCCCAGTGTTGTTAGGTATCTTGGAGCCTATGAAGGCACCCTCGCAGATTGACTATTATAGGACACTGTTGGGTTTCACGGGGGCTAGGTGTGGTGCTGATGACCAAATCTGGCTCTTTTGGAATTTTGACATTGCACCGTCCATTCATTTTATTTCCTATTTTGCACAGTCACTAACCTTTTCCTTTTGTCACCCTTCTTTTCCTAATCCTCTTTGGTTATCAGTTGTTTATGCTAAGTGTAAGTACAGGGATAGGGAGCCATTGTGGGAATATCTTAGAGAGACACACGCCGCTCTCCCGGCTGGCATGGCATGGGGGGTGGTGGGTGATTTCAACTGTCTGCTCGATCCCTCAGAGAAGAAGGGTGGCCGTCCGTATGCTCCAGTCAAATATCGGCCATTTGTTGAATGCGTGGAGGATTGTGAACTGGTTGATTCTCCTTTCACTGGGGAGGATTATACTTGGTTCAACAATCGAGTGGGTGGGGTGGAGATTCGGAGCCGGATTGACCGATTGCTGTTTAACCAGCCATGGATGGATATGTTCTCTTGTTTGGTACATCACTTGGATAGAGTTGGATCTGATCATGCTCCACTGTTGGTGGAGTGTAAGTCTCATGAGCGTCCTCCTGCCCGGCCTTTCACGTTCCTTAATGTCTGGACAGAGCACGAGGATTTTCAGAGACTGGTGGCGGACTCTTGGCGGGAGGAGATTGCTGGGGGTCCCATGTTCATATTTGGTGCTAAGCTCAAGCGTCTAGCACTTAGCTTGAAGAGGTGGAACCGTGATACCTTCGGTCACATCTTTGACAGGCTTAAGACGCTTGAGCAGGATGTTCGGGACATTGAGCTACAGTTGCAGACAGATCCCTCAGATGAGACATACATCGAGTTTAAATGGCGCTCTGCACTTTTGAAGTGCCAGTATCGCATTGAGGATGAGTTTTGGCGGTAGAAAGCCCATGCAAAATGGGTGACGGACAGAGAGAGGAACTTGGGGTACTTTCACTCTGTGGTGAAGGATCGCCGGCGGAAGCTTTACATTCACCGCATACAGGATGATCGTGGGCAGTGGGTCACGGAGAGAGCTGGGATTGCATTGCAGGCGATCACCTTTTTTCAGGCCATGTTCACTGCAGATCCTAGTGTCACATCTTCGGTCTTAGATATGATTCCACGGCTGGTCACTGATGATGATAATGACCGGCTATGTGCTGTTCCGGAGATGGAGGAGGTCAAGACTGCGGTCTTTGCTATGGATTCTCGGAGTGCAGCGGGCCCCGATGGCTTTACTGGGGTGTTCTATAAGGCCGCTTGGACGATCATTTGCATGGACTTATTGGCGATGGTGCAGGCCTTTTTCTTGGGCCACGATCTGACTCGCTCCCTCACGCACACTTCTATTATTTTGTTGCCCAAGAAGCCTAATCCTGTGACTTTTGCGGACTTCAGACCCATCAGTTTGTGTAATTACTGCAACAAGATCATCACGAAGATTATGGTGGTTCGCTTGGCTTCTGTGCTCCCTCGTTTGCTATCCCCGCATCAGAGTGGGTTTGTGGCGGGGCGTTCTATCACTGATAATATTATTTTGGCCCAGGAGATGTGTCACGGGATGCGGGTGGACAATGAAGATGTCATTCTGAAGCTGGATATGATGAAGGCCTATGATCGGGTCTCTTGGTACTTCTTGATGACAGTACTGCGCCAATTTGGATTTTCGGAGACTTGGATCGATTTGGTTTATCGGGCCATCTCGAATATTTGGTACTCCGTCATTATTAATGGGATTCGAGAGGGCTTCTTTCATTCGACGAGGGGCTTGCAGCAGGGGGACCCACTCTCACCGTCCTTGTTCATTCTATCAGCGGAGGTCCTCTCTCTCTCTTTGGCTCAGCTGTATACAGATCCTACAGTTGCTCGATTCACACAGCCCCGTGATGCACCGCATATTCATCATCTTGCCTACGCCGAGGACATTGTCATCTTCACTTCGGCGAGGGGGACACTTTGGAGAGAGTTCGAGCAGTTTTACATTCCTATGAGCAGATTTCAGGTCAGGCTGTCAGCTTCCCTAAGAGTGCTTTCTATATGCACCCTAAGGCGTTGGCACCCGTGTTGGAGCGTGTTCGAGATACTCTCGGGTGTTCATTGGATGTGCTTCCATTCACTTATCTTGGCTGTCCTATTTATCATGGTCGGAAGCGCATTCATTACTTTGAGCCTGTTCTGAAAAAGATGTGGGACAAGTGTTGTGCGTGGATGGGGCGCTATCTTTCTCCGGGGGGAAGGCTATTATGATTAAGAGTGTTCTTCAGGCGATCCCGACACACTTGCTCGCTGCACACTTTCCTCCCAAGACAGTGATTCGAGAGATGGAGTCTATCATGGCACGATTTTTTTGGTCTGGCTTGGGAGGGACACGACGTTATCATTGGGGATCTTGGAAGACTCTGGCTCAGCCGACGAGAGAGGGTGGGATCGGCTTCCTTGATTTTATGACTTTGGCTAAGTCTTGTTCGGCCAATCTCTGGTGGAATTTAAGGACACAGGACACTATCTGGGCGGCATTCATGAGGGCTAAGTACTGTAGCCGCGTCCATCCTGTGTCCAAGCAGCGTGTTGATGATGATTCTCACACATGGAAGCGCATGTTGGATGTTCGGGCGGTGGTTGATCCTATGATTCGATGGCGTGTACTTTCTGGCACGTCTAATTTTTGGTGGGATACATGGTCTAGTCTGGGTGCCTTGCATCGCCAAGTGGACGGCTGTAGTGGATACTGGACTGATGGAGTGGGCGATATGTATCGCTCTGATTTTATGATTGACCATAATGCGCTGCCCCCTGATCTCCTACGGCAGTTGCGTCTTGAGCCGCCATCTCTTGTTTCTGATCATGCGGATATTCCGGTCTGGACCCCGTTTACGGACGGGAAGTTCACTCTTGCTTCTGCTAAGGAGCTTCTTAGACCGAGGTGGGACGATGAGGTGGAGGACACTGTGCTTAAGAGGTGCTGGCCGAAGCACCTACCCTATAAGATGTCCTTTCTAGCGTGGCGTGTGCTGACGCGGCGCCTTCCCGCTGATGATGTCCTAACGAGATTTGGATTTGCTTTGCCCTCCCGGTGCTTTTGTTGCTCGCCGCCAGGACGGGAGACCATAGCACATATTTTTTATCATGGGAGCATGGCGCGGCGTGTTTGGACCTATTTCACATAGTCTGCCCGCATTTAGGGCACACATCACAGTTTGAGGTCCACCTTGAGTATATGGTGGGCGCAGGAGCCGAAGAGCAGGATGCTCTCGTTCCTATTCCACCGCCTACCGACGATCATTCTTTGGGAGCTTTGGACGCACTATGCAGCGTGCAAGTATGGGGATGCTCGTCCCAACTTCGCACGCATTATCTTTCGGGTGGCTATGGCGGTGTCGGAGTGCATCTATCGTCGCTGGCCTAGCGGAGGGGTCTTGCCTTCCCAGTGGTCAGTGATCATGGAGCACGTTCGACGGGGCTCTGGGCGTAGGAGGGTGGTGCCTATCCGGTGGGTCCCACCCCCGGGTGGCACCATCAAGGTGAACGTGGCGAGGGCTCCCCTCCGTGGTGCTTATGCGGCGATTGTGCGGGATTCGGCAGGTAAGTTTCTTTATGCTCTCTCTTCCATTGCATTTAGGTGGGACCCAGTGGAACGTGGAGGGATGGATCTGATTATTCGTTGCATTCAGTGGTGCATATCTCAGTCCCTCTTGCGTATCCACATGGAGTCACATCACTCTGAGTTAGCCTGTTTCTTTAGAGAGGGTACCCCGTGGTACCTTCATGATGTTCATGCTAGGCTGCGTTTCCTCTGTTCTATCGCGACGGTTCAATGGTTTGAATGTGATCTTCGGGCGAATGGCCCGACGACTGAGTTGGCATTGTGGGCCGTGGATAGCACAGAGGGGACGCGGGAGTTTACTAATCTGCAGGATCTTGATATTCGGGTACGATCTCTCTTTCCTATGGAAGATCTGCCTTTCTTTCACACGGATGAGGATGGGGGTAACCCCTAGTTGCATTGATTTGGGTGCCTTAACGACCGCGTCTGCGGTTAAGAGGCGCACGTATGTACCCGCGGTTAAAGGGTGCCCGTTGGTTCCCGCGGTTTGGGGCCACGTGTTGTACCGACGGTGAACGGTGCCTCTGCGAGATGACGGGCGTAGTCTCGTAGAGTTTCTTTCGTCCCCGTCGACTCCTGCTGCTCCTGGGGTACGTAGGCGCTAGGGTCTGAGGTTGTAGCGCCCGTAGTTGCCAGCGGTATTTGGCATCCTAGCCCGGGCAGAGGTGGCTGTCCGGTAAAGGCTTTTTCCATCTCGCACTTCATCTGAGTGCCTTAACGACCGCGCCTACGGTCAAAAGGCGCACGTACGCGTCCGCGGTAAAGGATGCCCGTCAGTGCTTGCGGATTGAGGATTTGAGCACCTGTGGCGCACACGGAAAGTGCGTATGCGTGGTACCGTCATCAAATCGGTGCCCTCGTCGGGAGGCTAGGTGGGGCCCGGCGAGGTTTCTTCCGCCTGCGTTAGTGCTTGCGCGTGAGGTTAGAGCACCCGCTATCTGTCGGCGGTAATGGGCTAAGGGTTGGCCACTGACCCATAGTGGTACCTCTTCTTTCTTCTCTTTCCTTTTCTATTCTTTCTGGACTTCATTTCTTGGATCATTCTTCTCCTCACATTTCATCACTTGGATCATTGGACTACATGGTATTGCTTTTGGACTGCATTTGGATCATTTCTCGGTGGACTACATTTGAGATAGTGCCTTTGGCTGGGCCTTGGTACGTGTTGTGGGATTCGTGGGCTTGGTTGCTGGGTTTGGCCTTGCAGGTTGGGCTTGTTTTGGACCTGGCGGCTTTGCTGGGCTTGGGCTACATGTTACACACATCTTGGATTTTGGTTTTTGGACTACTTTTGAGATTGCCCCGTCTCTATTCTGGGAGCTGGGCTTTGGTACGGGCTGTCGTGGGCTCCAGGCGGCAGATGGGCTTGACGGTTGCTGGGCTGGAGCTGGTGACGGCTTGGGCAGCGAATTGGGCTGCGTGGATTGGGCTTATCTGCATCGCTTGGGCTGGCTTCTGAGATTGGGCTTTCTTTTGATGGGGCCGAACTGGATTGGGCTGCTTCTTGGAGCTCTTCCTTGGCTCACTTGGATTATTATTGCACTTATTTTATTTTTTGCTCTATTTTAGTTGGGCTTTTCTGGATTTAGACTGGACTTAAGTCGATTACATTTCTTGGTTCATAACACTTCTCTTGATTTGGATTATCTGACCCTAGGCCTTACCCTCGCGGGGGTTGGGGCTCCGGGAATGATTTTATTCCTAGATCTAATAGAGAAATGTTGTGGGCCGGTTTTGTAGTTGTACTTAAGTCTATTTTTCCTATATCCGAAAAGCTCTTCACTTTATAGTTCTTTGGTTGTTGCTTACTTTTTATACAAGTGTGGAGCCTGTTCTCGCTTGTTCAGACGCTTGTATTCTTTGATTATTTAATAAAATGCTTTTAAATTTTAAACAAAAATGTGGAAGAGGTATAAATGTACAATTTACTTGTCGTTGTTGTTGTAGAAACAGAATGTAGAGAGAGAGAGAGAGATAACTGATGAAAATATCTGAGTTGCACTGCTTAGTAGCATTATCTAGTGTTTATGGGAGTCCACATCATCATTAATGCTTTGTAATTTAGGCCAAGCCCAATACCCTTTTTGAGCAGAACCTGGAATTTGTTGTTGTTCTAATTCTATTTTATTTTTATTTTTTTTCAGGTTTCAAAAATAAAAGAGAAGTATAGTGAGCTGATACTATTTCAAGGGTCTCTAGTGCTACAGAAATTAGTGCCAATGACTTTCTAGATAAGTTTTTACTGTGTATCAAACACTAATGGAAAACAACTTATGATTACATACTCCGTATGTATCCAGCATTCTTCTTTGCATCCTGGTCTCAGTTTTGTATGTATTACGCAAATGGGGCCTGAACAATTGCTAGACTCTGATCTGTTACGTTCATTCCTTCCTCCTTGTGTGCTGCTCTCAATTTTACTCCTTTATTGCGTTATTACACATGCACAGTACTATACCTCCTACTCCCAAAATTAACCCTTCTTCTCTTCACAATAATATTTTGTTTTACCATGGATTGATAACCATCTTAACAATAATCTTTATTCTTTGTAATTTTTCATGGAAACTTGTTCTTCGTAAGGTGTGGATGTTGCATGTAGAACAACTATCTGAAGCACCCAGTAGAGGCTACTGTGACAGCCTACCAAAAGGGAGTTTTCCAGTTACACGGTCGATACCCACGTACCGTGGGACGGTACCCTGGTACCGTGGGTTTGGACCCCCTACTACCGAGGGTACGGTGTGATACGTGAACTTGTCTGAATATTCTGTTTACGTCGAGGATCTATTTCGAGACTTTACGTGTTGCATGACGGTAAACATGGGTGTCAACACCGAGTGTTAGGCCGCTGTTTGAGCATGTTAAACATGGTGATTGATACTTATTTGATGTATGAACATTATATTATGAATTGCTAATGAATAAATGATGAATCAACTAGAATAAACTCTAGGGACTGACTTGAATGGATTAGTGGCAAGCTATGCCATAGGTTAGTAAATTAGAGTCATGTGGTACCTGCTGGGTCCAATGGCTGTCTGGGTAAAAACGTGTACACGGGGATCTAAGAACTATCATTCCGAAGGGGACAGGGATCTCACCCACTCAAAAAGGAACTCCCGAGTTGGTTTGAGCTTGACCTTCGTTCCGAAGAGGAAGGTCATGACTCCCATAGGCAAGTCGAATACATTTAAGCTTTAACCTAGTGTAGGTTAAGAGCCAAGTACGAATAAAAATTTAAAGTAAATTAAAGAGGAAAGAAACTGAGGTTATGTCTTTTCTATTTGTATCTCATGAATGATTATCTTATTGATTATGCAAGTTATATCTTGTATACTGCTATGAATGTTGCTAAGCACGTTGCGTGCATAATATCGTATGATGATATGGGCTCGTGGGATCATCTATGGGTATAACTGTATGTTAGATATTTCTCACTTAGCTTCAATGCCGAGCGTGTAGCGTTTGTTCCTTTGCTACACGTAGGTAATCTAAGGAATGAGGAACTTGGAACCAATCCCGGAGGGCGATGAGGATGCTGAGATGTGCGTGGCAGTATTCGACGACTTTGGATTATTACTTATTATTTAAATTAACTTATTACTATTTCGGGCATGATTCCCAAGTTGTGTTCTGGATTATGAATTAAGCTTCCGCGACTATTTTGAATATTAATCCGATGATTGTAAAACTATGGGTGGGCACGGATCGGGATGGTCCAGGTTTTAGGTTGTCCCACGTCTTGTCCCGTTTTACATAAACAGACCGAAACGCTTCAGATTACAATCTTATCCCGGTTTGTCCCATAAAATTTGGGATCAGAATAAACTGTGACGGATTTGGGTCGTCTTATTTTGTCCTAATCACAAATATAAGAAGGGGGAAAGGGTGACATTTCATTCAAAAAAAACATCTAGTCATCCAACAAAAAACAATGAGTGGAACGGGTCCAAATAAATTTCAAGCCTATGAAGTTAACTTAATAAAATAACTAATTAATTAAACAATGAGTGTATTTGGATTTTGGACTAGAATTAGTATTATATATTAGTAGAGTAGATGAAATGAGACAAACGGGACACATCGGTATAAATTTAAGCTATCCCAAACATGTCCCATTTGATATTGGCATGGAATGGGTTTGGGATAAAAAAAATGTATCCCAATATATCATTACAATTACAAACTAGATCCAGGATTTTTCGAAACTGTCCAACGGGAACAGATTTCACGCCCACCCCTATGTTAAACTATTTTTTGAAATGGTTATTTTGTTTGTTTTGTAAATTAAGTAGTGTTTGGATACAAAATTAGTGGCGACCCGGTTTGCTAATCTGATTATTCGGGTTATGCGGGTTGAGGTGTAATAGAGGGAGTATGACTTAATAAGAAGGAACAAATCATCTCCGCATGATTTGCTTCAGATCCTCCCATCTACCGACTGGTGCATGACTGCCATGTGCTCGATTCTCCCAATAGGTTTGCCACCAAGTATGTGCATAGTCAGTAAATTCCGCGATGGCAACCTTACATCTCTTGAGCTCATTATAGTTGCCACATGAAAACATGGCTTCACAAGTTTGCACCCATCTAACAAATTCTTCCCGACCACTTGTACCTTGAAATGCAGAACTTTCATCTTGGTGCTTCCTATGTAATCGTCTTCTTGCCTTTGCCGTTTGGCTCTGCGGTAGTTAGTTTCTTCTTCCTCTTTGTAGCCTCGGAACTGGATAGGTTCCAGTTCCCTTTTCTCCTTAGCACCACGCTCTACTTCTTTTCGAAGTGTAGTTATCTCCTCCTCACGTTTATTCATTTTGAATTTCATTACCTCTATTTGTAGCATGAGACTCCAAACTATTATAAATATTTTATGATGATTAAATGGTATGAAATATTGTAAATTTTACGTTACCAAGTTAATAGTTAAGTATAAAAGGGACTGTAGATTTGGACGGATTACGGTATTACATAGCATTTTACACAAAATTTCAAACTTGTGAAACACTACATCGTTAGACCTATCGCCTCGAGACCTCCACTTTAAGTATAAATTTGAGTATTAAAAGTCAACTTAAAAAATATTTATTTTTTAGTGCTATCGTTTTAACGTTTTATTTCATTCTATTTAAAATATGATTACAATTGTTTATAAATTTATCATAAACTTCTATGGTATACTTTATGGCGTTACAACTTCAGAGATGATGCGCTTGAACCCGGCGGAAGGCGGGTCGTTTGTTTTTCCTTGGATTTGTTCGTATGAATAGGCATGGGGATAAGGTGATTTAGAGACTCACTAGTCTATAACTTTAGCACCTCCATGAGACACGCCGGGGCAACATTAAAGGTGTAGCTTTACAACTTGCACGTTGTTGAAACTCTCACAAATTTCTCGACCCACACAATATGATCAATATAACCCACACAGGATTATAAAACACATATAAATTTCATTCCAATTCAACATACCTTACAAATGGAAATACAAAGCCTATTTATAGGCAAAGTCATTAACTAAATTACAATTTAATTAAAATATATAAAAATACAAAAGTCACACTCCAGGAAGTTTTAATGAAATTTATAAGAAATAACTTTGATTGATCTTCCTTGATTGCCTCCTAACCTCAATGTCAAGCCAGGAAAGATTAGTCATTTTAATATAATCTTTTCTGTATAATAACCATATAATGACAAGAATAATTATCTTGATAATATATTTAAGATAATCTTGTCTCAAACAAAATATATTTTGAAACTATTTAAATTTGTTTATGAAAAGAAATAATTAAAATCAAACCAAGTAGAAAATTCATAGGCAATTTCTAGAAGCCTAACTACCCAGGAATGGTCAACTGTTCAGTCGACCGTTCCTGGGCAGTAAGGGTTCTAGAAATTGCCCACTAATTTCTTACTTTGGTTTGATTTTAATTATTCTGGAAATTGCCCATTAATTTCCTACTTTGGTTTTATTTTAATTATTTCTTTTCTAAAATAAATTTAAATAGTTTCAAAATATATTTTGAAATTATTTAAATTTATTTTTGAAAATATATAATTAAAATAAACCTATAGTAGGAATTAATGGGCAATTTCTGGAACCCTAACTGTAGGTGGAGGAACAGTCGACCGTTCCTCCACCTTGGTCCAGTCGATGGACTGTCTTCTTCCCAGTATTTAGAATCTGCTGAACAGTACCGCGACAGTGGACCATTTGGTACCTACGGTCGACTGTGATTCCTCCGAGCGCTGCCTCCTTTGGACAATTTTTAACAGGTGACTGTATTGTTTCGGCGGTCAAGCGTACCTTGGCCAACGAGCCTTTCTGGATACCTTATTCCATTCCATAGTCTTGGTATTCCCCGGGGTTATGAATCAAATATGGATTCACATCAAAAGATAGTGTATTAATATATAGACCCTCCGTCTAAGTGGAAATTTCTAATTTTGATTTGGAACGATTTTTAATGTAATGTTAAAATTCCTTTGACTTTATGAAAATGCCATTCATCAGTTTACTACATTCAACCATCCATTCACTGCAAATCTTATATAGTCAACATTATCGCCCCTCCTCAAAATATAAAGTCATTTGTGCCCTGCAATATTCGGGTGTTATCAATTCCCCTGCAGATCAGTCACCACCAAATCATTTGTGCTATGTAGTCAACATATCCCAGTTCTTCCTGATTTAATTTCCCGCAATAATCTTCTGTAAATTTCCTAGCAATGTCGATGATCAGTATGCTATGCCGCACTCGCACTTTCCAATCTCATTTCCCCAGTCGCATTTCCCCAATCGCATTTTCCCAATCACGATTCCTTAGTCGCATTTCTCAAATCGCATTTCCCCAGTCCCACTCGCATATCCAAGATGACCGGAAAGC